TCTGGTTAGCAGTCAAGTGCTTTAGCCACTATGCTACCAGAGCTCCTCATTTTAAGGCTAGTGGGATGACAAAAGTGACCCATCTCCACATTAGCATTCCATATACCTTATTTGCATGGTCTCACCCCCCCCACAAAGGCACCATGTACCTTATTTGCATTACTAACAATGTATCCAATGCCTTTTGTGGGCCACAAGCACCTTGTATTTGCATAGTTCCACCCAGTTATCTCGTGGGAGTCACAGGGACCATGGCTAGAAGAGCCACACTGAGTAACTCTCTGCACCACAATGAGCAATGTTACTTTGAGATGCAGGCTGTACCAGTGTCCTTGATAAACAGCTTGGACAAGCTTTTCCTCCACATTCCTGACCCCCACCCTTATCTGCTAAGGGCAGTTAAAATTTTACGGTTGTCTTAGTTGTCTTAGTTGCGGGTCAAAGCAGAAGTAAGGCTGAGGTGACACTGGAGTCTAAAGTAAGATGGAATCTAATCCAGACCCAGGTCAGCCGGTTTAGTCGTGCCAAACACCTCAGTTTAGGGGGGTTTGCTTACACATAATAATCAGTCACTGATGTTGTTGTTAGGTGCTGTCGAGTTGTCTCCAACTCATAGTGACCCTATACACAGCAGGACAAAACACTGCCCAGTTTTGTGCCAGCCTCACGATCCCTGCTGTACCTGAGCCCATCATTGCAGCCATTGTGTCAGTCCATCTCATTGAGGGCTTTCCCTTCTTCGTTGACCCTCCACTTTACCAAGCATGATATCCTTTTCCAGGGAAAGGTCCTTCTGACAACATGATCACAGTAGCTGAGGCAGAGTCTGGCCATTCTCGCTTCCAAGGAGCATTCCAGCTGCACTTGTTCCGGGACAAATTTGTCAGTCCTTTTAGCAGTCCGTGATACTCTTAGCATTCTTCCCCAGCACCACAACTCAAAAGCATCAACTTTTCTTTGCTCTTCCTTATTCATTGTCCAGCTCTCACATGCATAAGAGGCAATTGAAAATACCATGGCTTGGGTTAGGTGCACCTTAGTCTTCAAGGAGACATCTTTGCTCTTCAGCACTTGAAAGAGGCAATTGCTAGCCACATCAATTGCTGTGCAGAATTTTATCTTAGAAAAGGATTAGAAGTGCACTCAGATTTGTCATGCATAAACTTGTTTAGTTTATTGCAAGGTAGTCACGGCAAGGCATGCAAGTAAGACCTCACAACATTCATTCAGAACTTGAGAAATCAGAATTAACAGTTACAAAATTAGTTTAATGGCTAGAATCCCAATCTTTAGACTTCAGGCTTTTACCTTTAACAAGAGGTGTCAGGAGGAAGGCTTGACCGTATCTCGAACTCAGCAGAGATCCCTCCTAGTTAGGGTCCAAAGCCATCTGCTTCAGGTGGAGCCTCAGCGGGTCGTTGGTCTTCGGAGAGTAAGAGACTAGAGAAGGAGCATTTTGCCTCTGCTTTCTCTCAGTGAGTGAAGTGCAGGGTTTATATGTGAACTTCTCGTCTGAGCCTTGTACAAGAAAGGCGAGTGTGACAAAAAAGACCAATGTGTTATGCCTTTTCTCTAGGGTTAGAGATGAGCCAAATGTCACATTTTTTTCTTCAAAGTTAGAGATTAGGGAGGTTGTTTAGACTTATGTCTCAAGAGTAGTTTACAAAGATCAGCTGTGGTATGTCTGCTTTTATCACAGCATGCCACAGGGTCAAAGTCAACCTAAGGTGGCCTATCAAGGAGCTCTGGTAGCATAGTGCCTAAGGCACTTGACTGCTAACCAGAAGGCTGGTGGTTCAAACCCACCAGCCACTCCTCTGAGGAAGGTTGGGCAATCTACTTCGGGTGGTGATACTGCCTTGGTGGTGATACTGCCTCGGCGACTGGTCACTATGAGTCAGGTCCAACTCGATGGCAAACAACAACATCACATTCTGTACATTCTTCAGACACTTCTCTAAATTCAGAAGTTTCATAAATAATTCTCTTAATGACTTACAGGTTTCTAATTTATAAAGAGCCTCAGAAAGGTAGACATTTCTATTTCTAAATTCACATTATGAGTGATTATACATATGTATTTTGAAAGCATACTAGTGACATATACCTTACGGAATTTGAGATCATTGTAGAAACAGACAGAACGACCTCCAGAGGTTCTTTAGAGGATTCGGTTAGCGTCATGTGCATGGCACAAAACCTGGCCCATAATAAGCACTCTGTCCATGAAACTTCTTATTTTAATTCTTGCATCTTACTAAGAGATTCATATACAACATGAGGCTTATTTAAACCTCACAACAATCCTAGTAGGTAGGTAGATTCCAGAAACCCATTTTCAGAATGAGGAAACAGCTCACCAAGGGGAGGAGTCTTTCTTCAGGCCACACAGGAAGCCTGTGGCTAGCCTAAAGCCCAGAGCTCTTGTGAATCACTTCTGGAGTCTGTCTGCAGGCCCCTCCCCCTCAGCGTGCCCGGCCATAGCATTGGCCAGGATGGAAGACCTATCTGCACTTTGATGGCTTCCCTGCCTGGGGCTTAGGAACTGACTCCTGCTGGGTATCCTTTTCCCCCAGAACTGGAGATGGCCAAGGCCCGGAACCAACTGGATGCTGTTCTGCAGTGTCTGCTGGAGAAGAGCCACATGGACAGGTTGGACCCAGACCAGCATGGGATCATGGGGGCTAGGGAACCTGGCAAGTTGAACCTTCTGATCCTGGGTGGATCAGCTGGGAACCTAGAAGCCGGCTTGGGGAGGAAGGTGTCCAATGGGGAGGTCACTCAGTGCCCTCCCACTCTGGGCCCTTGGAACCCTGAGCAAACAGTTCTCTTGTGCTACCAGGGAACGTCTAGATGAGGAGGCTGGGAAGACACCCTCGGACACCCACAATAAGTAAGCTTTCTTGATGGGATCTGGAGCTGAGGGTTTGTGGTCAATAACTTTCTCCACATCACATCCCTGATCCCTCTGTCCTGTGCTTCCTCCATCACAACCTTGACCCCTCTACATGTACAGAGACCCTGTGGCAGGAAGTAGCTTAGATCCCCTCATGGTTGGCACCCAGATCTCCAGGAACATGGATTGAACGCAGTGTCCACAGGGGTGATGGGATTCATGTGAGCATCTCAGGCTTGATCCCAGTATTCCCCGGGTGCCCATGGAGAGGCTTTGAGCAGTGTTTGTTCAAGGTGGGGTCAGCCTGCTGATACCCTGTCTCTCTCCACAGGGACTGCTCCATTGCAGCCACTGGCAAACGGTAAGGCAGTGGGGACCTCAGCCAGCTGACTAGGGGTTCCCAGCCCCTGCCAGATCCTAACACTCCTCCCCACCCCCACAGGCCATCTGCCCGCTTTCCCCACCAGCGGAGGAAGAAGAGGAGGGAGATGGATGATGGGCTGGCCGAGGGAGGACCTCAGCGATCCAGTGAGTGGGCGGTGGCCTGAGAGGGCAGGCAGGGGCCCAGGGGCTACGTAATGTTCATACACCTCCCACCCCCGCCATCCCCAGACACATACGTGATTAAGCTATTTGACCGGAGCGTGGACTTGGCCCAGTTCAGCGAGAACACACCACTCTACCCCATCTGCCGTGCCTGGATGCGCAACAGCCCCTCAGCACGAGAGCGTGAACGTTCACCCACCTCGCCACTGCCCCCACTACCGGAGGATGAGGAGGTGGGATGCCGGAAAGGGCAGTGGGCGGAGGGCACAAGAGGTGGACTTCCCACCCCAAGCTAGTGAAGGTGGATGGACAAAAATCCCTGTGTCCCTCGATAACACTTCTGAAGCAGATGAAGTACATAAACATGAACCCCTAGGTAAGGGGTATGGATGGAGCCCCCTAGGACAGGTCAGGTCACCTGGCTGGGGGGAGGGGGCAGACAGAGTTCCCCTGGGCAGTCAGACACAACCTCCAAATTGGGGGTCCTCAAGAGCAAGGTTAGATAGGAGTCCTGGCAGACAGATATGGTCATCTAATCTGAGGGGTTAAATAGGGTTTTCTTAGACAGAATGATGTGACTCCCTGGTAGGGGTGGCCAGGGATCACCAGGACAGACAGACATAATCCTTTAAACTGGCAAGGGTGGAAAGTAATTCCCAAGAGTAGGCAGACATGGCCGTTTGGCCTGGAGAATGGTGGAAGGAGGTCCCCAGGTGATAAAAATAAAAAAATAAATAAAAATATGATGCTTGGACAAGGTTCCCTGAGGCAGGCAGGCAGCCATGACCCCCTGGGCTGGCAAGGATAGACAGAGGTCCCTGGGGCAGGTGGACCTGATGCCCAGGTTGGGCGTGGTACCTGCCCTTTAGACATGACTCTTCAGATTCTCATATCTTGTCACTGGGAAAGGCAGGAGGGATAGATTGTACACTCCCAGGCCTCTGCTCTGACTTTCTTGGGTTGGGCGGGGGGTGGCCCTTGTGTCCCCAGGGGTCAGAGGTTACCAACAGCAAGAATCGGGATGTGTACAAGCTGCCTCCACCCACGGCCCCGGGGCCACCCGGAGATGCCTGCAAATCCCGCATTCCGTCCCCGCTGCAGCCGGAGACCCAGGGAACCCCAGATGATGAGGTGGGTGTGCAAGGTTGGCATGGGATCGAGGGAGGCACACATTCCAGGGCTTGGGGCATAGCCACCCAGCCCAGCCTCTCTGTCCACACAGCCCTCCGAGCCCGAGCCCTCACCGTCCACACTCATCTACCGCAACATGCAGCGCTGGAAACGCATTCGCCAGAGGTGAGCATTCCCCAGCCTGCCTGCCCCTGTGGGCTCTGCCCCAACTCCTGAGCCTTCCCTTTGTCCCACCCTTCATGCAGCTGGAAGGAAGCATCTCATCAGAACCAGCTCCGCTACTCAGAAAGCATGAAGATCCTACGGGAGATGTATGATCGACAGTGACGTTCGTCTCCCCGCCCCAATAAAAGTGCCGCTCTGCACCAGCCCCTGCTTGCTGCAGCCCATCCCTTACGGCCCAGACATGAGGCACCTGGCAAAGCTCTAGCACATTTATTGGAGTCGGAGTGGTGGTGGCACAGGGACAGCGGCGAGTTCCAGGGGAAAGGATGGTGAGGAATGAAGGGTCGTGTCTGCTTGGTTGATCTGGAGGCTAAGGGGAATGTGGAAGGTGGATTGCCTAGGCTATCCTGCTGGAGGGTGAGGGTCAGGAAGAAGGGTGGGGAGGTCTGGTACAGCTGGGGAAGGGGACTGGGATATCTGTGCCATCTGGGGAGATGGGAGGATGTATGTACAATTTGAGGGTGAGGTTCTGGTGGTCTGGGATAAAGTGGGTTATTTCCAAGGGTAGGGATGAGAAAAGGGGCTTAGAGGCCAGAGTGGCAGGCTGGGGTTACAAGTGAGATGTATCTGTAGAGTGTGGAGTATCTGGTTGGAGTGAGAAGGATTGAGTTTTGGGGTTCAGACCTGGCTGGTCTGGGGTGGGAGGTCTTCAGAATCTAGGAGAGTTGGTTTAGGGTGTGGGTGGGGTTATGTCTGACTAGAAATGGGGGTTTAGGAGTGTCTTCCTAGAGTCTGAAGGAAGTAGAGGAGGAAGTCTTGAGGGGGGCCAGAGAGAATGGAGAGCTGAAGATGGGGGACGGGGTGTCGGGTAAAGGGTCTAAGACCAGGTATCATGGCTGGGTCTAGGGGGTAAGGAGAGGGGCGGGATCCCGGATGGGACATTTCAAGATCTGGGCAAGCTCTAAGCATCTGGCTGGGTGGAGTCAGGTCGGCTTTAAAAGAGGGGCCTGGGACGGCTCCCGGCCTTCAGGCAGTCCCAGAGCCCTACTTGGTGGCAGCTGGTGGCGGCAGCGGGGTCTGGGCTGGCGCGGCCTGGATGGACAGAACACCCTCGGGGGACAGCGCGGATGTCACGGCAGCGGGGTCCACGCCGGCAGGCAAGCGGTAGCGGCGGTGAAACTCGCGCGCGATGTAGCCGTGCTCATCCTGGAGGAGGAGAGGCGTTAGGGGCTAGGTCCCGGGCTCGCGGGTCCCGCCCCTTCCCTACCGGAGCCCCAGCTTCGCCCCACCCCTCCGGCCAGCGTTCGCCCGGGACGGTGAGCTCACCGGGCGCTCCTCGTGGCGCGCATGCACCTCCACGTGTTCTCCCACCACCTTGACGGCGATTTCCTCGGGCGAAAAGTGCTTTACGTCCAGCAGCACTGAGAAATGGCCGGGGTCCGTCGGCACCTGCGCAAGGCCGGCAGCGGAGGGGGAGGACGGTCACGGGGCCGGTCGAGGCTCCCGGAACCCGGCAGTGCCACGCCCCGGTCCGCGCCGGTGCTGCTGGAGAATCCCCTCACCGACCTCTTCAACCAGAGTAACTAATCACTGGGTTCCCCCTCTACCCAGGGGGATGAGACTGCTTTCCCCTGCAAGGTCAGGAACTTCCGCACTCACCGGGGACCCTGGGCCTGGCTCCGTCAGCGTTAAAATCTCGTCATCAGCCATAGCTCCTCCCATCGCCCCCGCCCCGCACTCGTCCTACCCTTCCCCCCTGGGTCACCCGGGCCCTCCTCCAGAAATCGACCAGATGCCTCTTCCCTCCTGCTCGCACCCTCAGCAACTACTGGTTCCTCCCCCACGTCTCAGAGTGACCAGGGTCCCCGCCCACAAATCACAGGACCCCTTTTTTGTCAGAAAACGTCGAGTCACCACAATGTCTAATCTTTCCTCGTAGAGTAACAACATGCCACCCCTCAGGAATTACTGGGGGGCCCCCACGGTCCTCAGAATGACTGGGGTTCTCGCTCCTTAGGTCACTAGACCTTTTCAGAATCAACAAAACTCCCCGCAGAATTACCCTCAGCGTCCACAGTGGTGAGCTCTCCACCAGCACCCCACCCCCGCTGAGCTAATGGAACCCCTCTGACAACTACAGAGACCGCTCACCCCTGTCAATAACCCGGCCTGTCCACTCCCTTCAGGGAGCAGCATTCCACCCTCAGGTGTCCCTGGAAGCCCCTAAGTGACCAGGATTCTTCACCCCACTCACTCATCAGACATTCCCTCCCCTCACGGTCGATCCGGCCCCTCGCCTTCCGAATGGCCCGAATTACTGCCCCTCCCCCGGGGCTGGCACCTGGGCGACGGGCAGCGCCACGCTGGGTGCGCGCAGGTAGTAAGGGGCGAGCGTCGCGGGGCAGAGCGCGGCCAGTTCAGCCTCCAGCAGCCCTTCTCCGAAGCGCTGGTCAAAGAGGCGGCCGGCCGCCGGAAGTCCAGGCAGCGGGGCCGAGGCGCGACGCAGCCAAGACGGCTGCACAGGCACTGGGATCTCCATCCTACTTACCGCCGCTGCTCTGGGCGTCGCAATGCCACTGAGTGAGCAGTCAGCGCCTTATAGCGCGCCCCTGTGCCCGCCCTTCACGGGCCGCCTAGGGACACCGGGACCGCGGCCAGATCTGGCCATTAATGCAGCCTTATTTAGAAACCTCAACAATTACCTGGTCATTTATTAAGCGCCTGCTGGATGCCTGGTAAAGGCTGCCAAGGAGATGTTCATTAAGGACCCCCCGCCCAAGGCCAAGGAAGCGGAGCCTTACCAGAGAGGGGAGCACAGTACGGCGCTTGAGACCCAGGGTCCGACAACCCCACCGCAAAGCCCTCAGTCCTTTTAATCCACCCTCGCACCATAGATAGCTCTGAGGATGAAGTACATGATGGGTTGAGGGGCAGATTCCAGGGTACAGGGAATGTGGTGCCCGGGCCAAGCTGTCAGAGGACACAGAACAGACCCTACCCCCACCCTCAGCTGGGCCCTGGGCCCAGCCCCGCGCCAGGCCGGGCCTAATTCTGTGCCTCTGACTCAGCCTCCGCGCTGCGGCAGCAGGGTCTGCCAAGTGAGCGGCGGTCTGGGGGCGCGGGCCCGAACAATCTACGTTGGCCCCCCAGGGGCCGCGCGCCGGGTCCCGAAATAGCTCCTTTTGATCCCGTCACACACCCACTTTGGCCAGAAGTCCAGACCTGGCACCTGGACCAACCAGCTGTTTCTGCACCAAGAGGGAAATGGTTAGATGACCAGCAGGACCGGCTGACTGGCCCAAATAATGCACGGAGGGCGGTTAGACGGGTCAGGCTCCCTGACTGCCCCTGCAACGGGACGAACGGTGGTTAGACTTGAGTCGGGAAGAGATTTCTGGAGCAAGAGGGAAACGGTTAGAGAGGACTGCGGAAAAGCGAGTGTACTTTGGATACCTTCCTAACGGCTAGCCCAGCCTTAGATTCTTTTCGTGATGCACGAAAAACACCAACCCACAGCCGTGGAGTCAATTCCGCCTCATAGTGACGCTATAGGACAGAGTAGAACTGCCCCATAGTTTCCAAGGCTGCAAATCTTCACTGCAGCAACTGCCTAGGCCCCGCCCCGCCCCGCCCCGCTGAGTGGTTGGTGGGTGGGAATCGCTGACCTTGTGGTTGGCGGCCAAGTGCTTTTAGCCACAACGCCACCAGGGCTCCTTTTTTTATTGGTGCACAGGCTTGCCAATTACTGCTACATGCTACAGGCTCGCCAATCAAACAAGCTTTCTCAAGCAGACAGCGTTATAGCCAATCATAAGATATTTCTTTTTGGGCACTTTCGTGTTGTTTCTATTTTCCTCTTGATTGGTAGCCTTGGAGGCCGCTCTTTTTCGCGCGCGAACTCCCAGAAAGGGGCGGTGCTAATTGCTAAGCGACGAGGATGCGCGCGGGGTTGGCCGGGTGACGGAGCTCAGCAGGCGGAAGCGCCGGGATGGTCGCGGGATAGTTCGCAGGTGAGGCCGATCCTTCTCAGCAACCACTAGAGCCCTGGGGAGGACCAAAGGATGAAGGCGATACAGCCTAGGCGCAAGTTCCCTAGCGTCCCGTGTCTCTCGGGCTTAACCGCGGTAGAACTACAATTCCCAAGGTGCTCTACGGCCTGTAGCCCGGTCAGCCTTGGACATCACTTTCCCGGGAGTCCCATAAGCGTTTTATGTCAGCTCTCTTCTTGTTGTTATATGCCGTCGAGTCGGCCCCGACTCATAGCGACCCCTCCTTGGATTTCCGAGGCAGTATCACTACGAAAGTAGGATTGCCCAACCTTCCTTCCGAGGAGTGGCTGGTGGGTTTGAACCGCCAGCCTTCTGGTTAGCAGTCAAGTGCCTTAGGCACTATGCTACCA